AGAAAATATCTCGTTGTATATAAATGCACATGTAAACACACATACACTTATATATGAAACAATATATCCTGTATAAATGGAAAGATGTTATCTAGAATTTCATTTGCAAAGCAAAATCACACTGCACTTGTCTTCATTAGAATATATTCATGGAGACAAGAAGCATGCACACCATCTATATGTCTAAATTCAGTAGGTTAAAATTCAGACAGGTCAGACTTTTATCCTTATTAAGAAGCATTTTGGGTACAGGGAACATGCTCTTGTGCTTTATCGGGTAACAAATACTCATGAATTTCTGAAGATTACATTTATTGAAATTTCTCATTAGAAGAGTTTTCTGCAAAGAAAAGCATTTCTTGATACCACATAACATTAAGCCGTTGAATTTCATGGGAACAAAGCAAAGTGTTACAGATTCAGGACTGAGGCTTGAAACAGATATGACCATAGAAAAAGATTAGAAAATTGAAGGAACTATTAATGCATATTCTCCATTACATACTGCATTTGTTTTAAAAATAGTAACCACTCTAAAATCCAAGGCTTGCCTGCTACAGCAGTTATGGCTTCAGTCCAGCTTGTTTTCCTATTCCAGGCCATGCTGAATGAGGTGGAAATAAAATGGGAATATTATGGCTTTCTGATATACAGACTGCACCAGCCCTGCAATGATTAGCAAGGCCTAGAGACCATTCTAACATACCTTAAGGTATGGTCCTAAAGGACTATTCCTATAAAAATTACTATAAAGGAAGAGAGGACTTTAGTGCTATCTCACATTCACTTATTTTCCTGTTTTACTGCCTTTAAAGGAGGTGGTTTGGGACCAAGCTTCACCATTTTGTATTAAATAAGAATTTGTTTCCCCTGGGGCATTCCTCCGGTACATCCTGAGGCTTTAAATAAAAATTAGGTTTGTTTCTTGCACGTGGAATTACAGAGAATTGAATTTACATTGTGACAGATTTAACACACAGTAGGAGATTCTGTACTGTGTTTCTTATACAGAAGTACATCTTTTAGTTCTTGCAATTATTTAACTTCCTGATCTGGATAGTGGTGAGACTTAATCTCACTTCTAAAAGTACTATCAGAAGTCGCTTTTGCAGATATTAAAAGAATAACAACTTCAGTTCAGACTCATTAATTTCTTTCACTTTAATTATAGTTCTTGACAACCCGAGTTGCAGATGAGTAACACACGCATAGAAACACTCCCAGACAGGAAGACGTACCCTCAAGGGAAAACACACAGGTTTTCCCAGCCAGAACAAATTCAATTGCAAATACTGAACAAAACCACTTACAACAAAGTATTTAATAAAACTCATAATGGGGATGTATTTCCATTAAATGTAGGAGGTCATCATAGCCTTTAGGAAGAGACCACACTGAGTGAGGAAGGTTAAAAGCTGCCTTATATCTTTAACATCTGAAATATTTTCTCCCACCCTTGGAGCATATTATTATTACTGTTACTATTGTTATGTATAAACCTTGTAGGAGCAAAGGAAAAATATGTTTGTTCTCACATCACGTCATTGACCTTACATAACTGATAAGCAGCTGCATCACCAAAAAGGGTTTGTTTTGTATAACGTACCAAAGACATTGGTAAGGAGTCAAAGTAAAAAACTACCCAGTATCAGAAAAACCAATCCTAACCTCTTACTGTTAGATATTCTCAAATGCTTTCTTTCAACATCAATTCTTTCTAATTTTACTAACACTTCTTCAAAACGCTTTGTGCGCTAGGTTACCAGGTAGGTAATATTATCACCAGGAAATGAGGCAAAACTTACAAGTGGTTTGTCCTAAATCTCATCAAAGGCCAAATTAGAACTCTGTAAAACTTGATTAGAGCATCGATATCCAAGCCAAAAGACCGCAGAAACATTTTCATCCTTTTTTCTATCTGCAACATATAGATTCAATGTTTCCATTGTCAACAAATTAGAGAAGTTACAGCTTTACTCGGCCTCAGATGGGATGTTACGTATTTCATCATTCCTTAGCTAGGACAGATAATGAACAAAAAAGGTTTTTCCATTCATCCATCAAGTTGATCTGCTACAGCAACAGGACATCTTTGGGTTACAGGTGTGTCTGTGTTAAGGCCTCAAACTTTTATGATATGTGTCAGCTTGGCATTTTTACATGGCCTTTTCAAGCTGTTGTTTCAATTTCTTAAAATATATCCATTTTTATCTTCTTTAGGTATACCCGTGGTACTTATAATGTTCCTGTATGGTTGGTATTCCTCAGCTTTTCACAGTCTTGCTGTACTCAAACTTTATAAGACAGCATTAAGCACTTAAGAAAGCACTTTGGTGTTTTTTCTGACAGATCTTTGATGTCAAACTGAACATTGACCCTTTTGTAAACTTGGTTTCTAGTGCTTGGGTGCAAGTGATTAAATCAATGACTTGATCTGTGTTCACATAGTTTTCTTATGCTGTTAGGCTTAACTTACATCCCTTAAGAAAATATTTTCAAGTATTAAAGTCTTAATTTACTGTCTCTTTGCATTTCCATGCATTCATTTAATTAATCTTAGTTGTATTTCTTGGAACACTTGGAAGATTTCCCTCCTTTCCTGAATGTATATACATTTTAAAAATGTTTCCAGTTAGCTATATTCTTTCTCTGCTTTTGTTCGCTGTTGAGGTGACTAATGTGTTCTAATGTATGTTCACAAATCAGTCTTACCTTTTTTGCTCGTCCCTTAATTTTCTCTTTATCAACTACAGGTATCATACTAAGCAGGTCAAAACAAGATTTCAGATTTGAGCAGTGTTAGCCCCACTAGCTAATACTGGGGTATTATCTGTTACCTAATCTATTGAACTGTTTATATCACATTACCCTGATGGAATCTACCATATTTCTCCATATTTCTCATCTTGTGTTGTTACAGGAGGATATTCTTGGCCAGACTCAGTCTTCCAGAATTTAATTGTGCTAGCACCTTCCATATGTTTCTAGTCCAATAAAAGACAATTTATTTCTTTTTAGGAGATCTTAGAACTGCTGCTACAAGTGTAAAATTTCTCATATTTGAGGATATATCCTCTGAATATCCTTTACCAGAATGACCAAGCTTGCTTAGGCTTCATAAGGTCTGGTGGTCATAGGAATTCGAAGTATGTTCCTACTTTATTTGGCAAAAACAACTGTGGTGCAATAGTCAAGTCATAGGTTGCCTAAGTTATGAAATAATTGAATTCTACTTGGTACTTTTTACCATAAAAGCCTTTAAAAGTTCAATTTTTCTTTTCTCTTTGGCAGACTAGTAGACATACATGTAAGCAAGGAGTAGATACAATGCAGGGTACCAGAGGTGTTTTTCCTCCTCTCTATCTTCGTGCATGCAAATCGCTTGAGATCAAGATGATGCAATGAGAAATCAGACAGACATATGTTTAACTCAATTATGAATGGAAACTCACAGCACTATCATCACTTTGCATTACTCAGCTGCAGCCTAGTTTTGCATTGTGTTCCTGAAGTTATGTATCGTCTCTAACAGTCACAATAGCTCTTCATTTAGCCAACTGGACTAGCTGATTTGTTGAGTTTTTTGATCAAATACACTGGTTTAAAGTAGCATCTGCATATACTGCAGGATTAGATTGTGATGAAAGTTTGGAAGGGTAAGACGACAAATACTTGACTTCTGATGTTAGGTGAAATGACTGGTACTAGACATTAGTCATGCACTTTCTTTTTTCAATAAAAGGAGAGAAAAACAAAGAGTGCACAAACCAGTGCAGGCAATAGACATTAATCATTACTAAGACTGAAAAAATAATTGTGATTAAATCACAATTTACATGATCCTTGTAGTAAGAGAAAGCGTAAGGGAAAATGTCAGTATGAACTCTGTGTGCTTATAACACGTACTCTTAAAAGAGATTTAAGGAGCATTCATTTTTTCGTCTTCCAAAAGGCAGGATCTTATGCTAGCACTCTTTGCTAGCACTGAATAGTCCCCCATTCTCTGAGCAGTTTTATTTAATGGAGTTAGGTTTAGCAGCATATAATATTTTTTTTTCAATTTTTGTATACAGCTAGCTTATTAAGAAAATCCCAGTGGGTAATATAAGCAATTATATTTAGTCTTGAACCTGCTTTTCCAGAATTCGGATGATAAAAATTCCATTTACAATAAATTAGAATGAATATCCCATTTTAAGTCCTTCAGCTTGAGTTCTTGGGAATTTTTTTGAAAAAAATGTGCTTCAGCCTGTAAGGTTGTCGTTGTCTATAAATGTACAGTTTTTAAAACATTCACCTCTTTGTAATTTTGTTGACATTTTCTGGAACTTTAATGTGTGCTCTGTAAATAGATGTATGCCCAGAATTGTTATACTTCCCTCACTTGTTCTTGCAGCACAATTTGTCAGTTCTCATTTTCAATGTGAGAAAAACATAATTATTTCCTGACCTCCTTCACACAGTGGTGCAGGTGGCCTACCCTCTGGCTTACTCGATTCAAGGGTCAGCCCAGAGGGCTGGATTGTGTAATGTTTATTCAGCACTGGTGGACACAAGTGCAATTCCAGTTGTAGTCACTGGAATTTGAGCAGCTTGCATCAGTGTTTATGGTTTTGTGCAGTTCAGCTGTTCAAAACCATATGCAAAATAATGCTACTCAGAAGTCTACCAACCAAATTCATGCCCTGTCTGATGTCAATCAGCTTTTAATGGGGATAGAGCTTTCTGTCCTCTCTGGTTTTCATCAAAAGGTGCCAAAATTTATCCCCTTTCCCAATCAGCAAGCCCTGTAGGGGCTTGCATGCTTAACCTGTGCTATGGGATCAAGTGAGAGGAACCACCAGACAGCGGGGTTACTCATCGTGGAAGAGTCCCTGTTTCCTTGACCAAGCATAGCTCCTTCAGCACACGTTTCCCTCTCTCTTCACCTCTACGCTACGGCGCAATATTTCTCTTGCTCCCTCTCTCACTATCTCTTTTCTGTATCTCTCGGAAATCAGACTGGAGTTCAGAGCACTTTCACTACCTTTTATGAGGTAGAGTGTGATGTCATAGATGGGGGCAGGGCTAGTCAACTTTCTACCCACCCACCCACCTGTGCTGAGGGAGCTACGCTTGAGATCGGAAGCAGTGACTCCTCGACGGTGAGTAACCTCCTGTCTCATCTATATCTTTAACTCTCTCTATAGATCTGGGGGTGGAGGGAAAAGACATGAGAATGGGGGAATTTTTAATTTTTTTATTTTTTTTAATTAACCATAGGGCTAACGATGAATTGCATGTGTTGCTTTAGTTACCTGTGAAAAATCATTTCCTTCCTGTTCTGAAGTCCTAGAGTTAATGTCATCTGTAAAGCAATGATCACGTTTCTTTGCAGAGGTGGTCCGTTTACTGGTGCTTAAACTGGTCCTTCAATGTTTATCTTGCACTGTGAAAAGGCAAACCCTGTTCCCCCCTGAACTCAATTGCTAAACTTTCATTAATTTAATTACAGTCGTTCTGGACCATCATTTTTCTAAAGTACTTTGTGATTAAAGATAGATGGCGGTTTTTATATATTTATCATTCTTAACTGTGGATGGTACAGGACAGGATTTTTATTTCCTATATTCTCTGTTACTGTTTTTATTTGCTTTATCCAGAATGTTTATGAAGCTATGTATTGACAGTAGGCCAATTATAAGACCTATCTTATAGAAAAAATAAAATTCAAAAGTAAATTGTGGAAGATGTGAAATTAAGTAGGAAATCAAATCCCAGGAGATGTAACTGAGATTTAACTTTTGAAATTATAAGTCAAGGCATTTGATTTTTTCTGTGATAAGAAATTGAGATTGGGCAGGGATATTGCTAACTGAATTTCTTCGTGTTTTTCTTGTGTCATTACCTATATATTATTATTTTACTTTAAAGCACTGTCTTGTTACCTATTTCCCTTGGCCCCAAGTATTACTGTTTCACTGTTTTAATATCCCTCAGCATTTTAAAAGACAAGATGGACCACGAAGATCTTCCTTTCTTGTTCTGCCTCTTGGGTATCTATTAAAGCTGTCAAGATGTCAGAGCTCTCATACTAAAGGGCAGAAGAAGGATCATATGAAGATTTTGACCCCTAGGGATACTGCAAATCTTGCCGTTCTTGTTCGTTTAAAGCTCTTTACCAGCTCTGTGTGGGGTCTTGTCATATCTCAGTGAAAGGCACTGAAAGGCAGCAATGCATACGCTATAAATCAAAGGCAAAGAGAGCGCAATCACAGCCTTTTCAGCAGAGGTGGTCCATAGTCTGATTGATGAAGTACTTCTATTTTCAGGTGACTAGGTGGCTTTGAGGAATCATGTATAAGAAGCAGAGCCTTCCATCTTCTGGTCACTGGCATGTATTGGGAATTGGCCAGTAGTGATGGATAGATACTGCTCCCTGATGACTCAGTGATGCTCTGTGTACCAGTGCATAGGAGGTCTGAATGAAATTCTGGGAGGATGAAAGTCTTGTTTACAAAGCTACCAAAACTTTCACTAATGACTGTTTCCCTTCCTGTCAGAGAGAAAAATAAGGACAATGAATATAAAAATTGGCTCCTTGACAGGTGGTAGCTTTTCTAGCTTTGAATCATGCGTGCAAGGAGTTTTGTTACAACTGTTTATTCCTTTAGTGAACCAAACATCGAAGGCTCCAAATCTTTCTTTGCAAAGCCAAGAAGTTGTCTTAGCGAATTTAGCTTGCCTAGAAAACTCTGATCTTTTCAGTAGGAAAGGAAAAGCAGGTTAGTCAACCTCTAATGTTTCCCTGGAAAACTTATACGGGAGTTGCTGTTGTTAAAGGCGGTTTGAGGTTTGCTCTTTTCAGAGGCAAATGCTTTGAGGTAAAATTTAATTTAGATCTTAAGCACATCCTTTGCTGATGAATTTACAGAATTGGTTTTGCTCATAATTATTCTCACATAATGTGGGGACTTCAATTTTTGCACAGAATGGGTAAAACATAAGGACCAAATGTACAGTGCCCCTAATCTCACTTTAGTGATACAATAGCATTATGGTGGCATAGAGAGGGAAATTCTTTTTAAAAGTGATATAAGGATTGGGAACTGGAAATCAGAATTGGTATCATTCAGTAATTACGGTCAATTAGAGGTACTGATCAGCACAGGGAGGGGGGGATATTATGGATCAGAGATGTCAGTGGATTTCTTTAAATCCAGAGATATTTGCTCTCTAAATTTAGCTCGTAAGAGCAAATCAGCAGTCGACTGACTTACGTATAGGGGGAGTTTGTAGAGAGAATGATATTCAAAGTGACATAAACTGTTTGTGGTAATTAACCTGGAATCTGCCTGTGCCAAATCTAATAATTTTTTGACAATGCAACCCCAGGATGTGGGTTTGCCTGAGTAACCTAACACTGGGAGAATAAACAGCCTAATTTTACATTTGCTGAGCTAATTCCCCTGTTAAATTATTTTACTGGCAGCTATGATTAAAAAAAAAACAAAAAAACATCTAAAGTACACAGATTCCTGTATTTTACAGCTTTGGCTTGAGTGTGTATTCAGTCAATTGCGATGTTTGTTTTAACTGTTATTTACATGTACATAAATTAAAGTAAAATATAATAAGGCCTAGACTTCAGCTGATTTTATTTAGTGTGTAATCTGAAAACTTCTGAAAGCAAATAACTGATTGACCTGTTCCAATATACGCTAATTGAAATAAGTTAAATCTTCATAAGGGTTTTGCAAACATTAAGTTACTTTACAAGACATTCTTAAACATTGTGTTGCTTTATGTTTGCAAGCACATTGTGTATTACTGACTCAAAGCAAAACCAAGTAACTAGTATATTTATACCTGTATCTTTAAGCAGGTCAGCATTTAAATTACGGATTTATTCCTCAGTCATGCTGGCAAGGTGTGAGCAGTACTTTAATGGTGTAAGATCACATATAGGGATCAAACTTTTTTTCAGCATGATTAAGATAGCTGTGTGAAATGCCAAAATTTTCTATGTTTGCCAGGCTGATTTCTCTTACAAGTTGAACTAAAACTTTGTGGGTTGGTTCTTAGCTCCTTTTTCTATATGAGAAGTGATGGAGAGCTATGGAACGCACCATCTGTTCTCAAACCATGTCAGCTGGCAAATAGATGGTCATCACCCTGCCCTCTCTTACTGCAATTTTAGGCTGGTATAACACCATTGACTCAAAATGAATCACTTTTGATTTAATCTTCTTTAAGCAAAAGAAGTCACAATGATAGTGCACAGCATCCTAGAGGACTCTTAGTGTTGATTTAAATTGCAATCCTTTTAAACTTCGATCTCAGCTCATTTGAATTGTCAACAAAAATGCTCAATAGCACTTGGACTGAGTATAGTGGTTGGAGGAAACTAAGACTGCCTTAACGCCATGGGCTTTCTGTTTCAGGGGCAGTTGCTTCTCAAAGACATTAAACGTGATTCTGTTCATTCATAATCCTTTGCGTTTTTATCAGTGCCTTCTGAGTGTCTCAAAGCAAACACGATGGTGTGTTGTCGTAAAACTCAAAACAGGAGCAAATATTGTCATTATTTCCCTTCTGCAAATGAGAATGCTGAGCCACACTCAAGGCAGAAAAGATCTATAGAATCTTGATGAGTTTCAAACATGCTGTCCTTCTCCAAGACTCAGATAATTTTCAAGACCAGTGTTTCTCTGTCTTCTATTCTGTAGTCCAGTTTCCACTCTGGATGACCAAAAAAAAATTTTAAAATGTAACAGTAGAAAGAGTTCACTGTACGGTTTGAAAATGATAGAGTTGGAAAGAAATCTTGCAGTAACAGGTGAAGGCTACCCCACTCAAGTTATGCAAAAGATGGGAGTAGGTCTATGGTGTAATGAAAACTGAGTATTTTATTATTCAGAAAGATTTTGCTTGAGTGATGAAGAGTTTTTACTGGTCTCTCCATTGCTATGTGCAGAGTGATTCATCTAGCCAAGTGTCAACATCTGCATCTGAGATGTTCACCCCAGGCTTCCTTTATAAGAAATGGAGACCAATAGCCATTTCTAGAGCGCAGATACTGTTATTTCAGGTAGACACTGACAACCGGTTAGATTAGTAACATCTTAAAAAAAAAAAAAATGACAGAGACATGGGTGGGTGAATTGAACCATGTATCCAGACAAGCATAAAGTTCAGGGGGCTTAGCCTCAGGGATCTTTTGAGGGTATATAGTCATATGTAAGTAATGTAAACTTTCTGTGAACTTAGCTGCTGGAGAAAGGAAACTGCCTAATATTTTCTGAACAGAAATGTTTAAATTGTTTTGTAAGGAGCACTTATCAACATAAAGTAGTTCTCTTGAGGTCCCAATCTCATTAGTTGCTGTAGCCTGAGGGGTTGATACTTTTTGTGGTTTTTGACACTTTTGGGGATCAAAAGAGAAGAATTAAGGACAACAATCTCAAAAATATTCATTAAGTTTGATTGAATTCTTGGACTACTGGGTCAAATCCAAGGACAATTTATTGCATATGTTGAACATCTATGCCCAGATTCGCTTGTACTGCCTTTAGGATTCCAAAGCAATTTGGGATCTCTGAATTAAATTTAAAAAGTGAAGTACTCTGGCCCATCTGCATAGAAAACGAACCCATGAAAGACCTCAAGTGCTCCATGGTTCCTGGTCTTCTCCACCAAGCACTGAAGGATTCTGGAGTGCCTTGGTCCGGCACCTGGAGTTAAGTAGGATGAGTGCAGGATAAGACTTCATTTATATAAATAGAAACTTTGAAAACCTTGCCTAGGTCACCAAACACATAGTCTCAGTGGCTTTTATGAGAAGCTCTGGTTTTCTTGCCTGCATTCCTAGTGAAATTATTCAATTACAGACATCTGAAAAAATGCTTCTGGGGGTTCCAGTGCCACCAGCTGTGAACAGCTCCTTGATCCTGACTAATATTAAAAGACATTCAGTCACAATCTTTCTGTTGCCAAGTAAGTGCAGACAAGTCCATAGATAATCATGACTAATAAACAATATTTAAGTTAGGTAAGAGCTTTATAAGAAAACGGCCAATGCAAATGCTTTTTCATTTCACCATTCTTCTAAACAACAGCTCAATTTATAGCTTCATCTCCTTTACATAAATTCTGGATTAGAGGG